TGAGTTTGTGACCCAGTTTCGAGCTTAGTTAGCGTCAGCTATTGAGGTACAATAGTTGGCAAGGGAGTTTCAGGACCTTCGTCAGACTACGGAAACTGTGGCAGAGATCACTGCCAAGTTCCGTGAGAGGGATTTATTGGTTCCACAATATGCAGCAAGTGAGGTGATGAAGAAGGTCAGGTATCATGATATCCTGACGGATGATATCAAGGAGTTTGTGAATATATCGGGGTGGAAGACCCTCAATGATATGATTTCTAGAGCCCGAGAGCAAGAGATCGATTTGGAGCACCTGAGGAATAGGGGTCCAAATCAGGTGCATGTAGTGGAGGGTCCCGTGAAGAGACCCAATACTTCAAATCAACGATTGAGGGGCCAGCAAGGTCGGAGTCAGTGTAGCACGTGCGGGAAATTGTATGATGGGGTTTGTCATTCTAGGGGTATGGGTTGCTACAAGTGTGGCAGGGTTGGTCATGTTAGCAGGGATTGTCCTCAGGGGGCAAGCCCGTTATGTTTTCACTACAGCCAAGTGGGCCACAAGAACGCTGACTGTCCGATGTTAAGGCGAGGAGCAGTGAGTGCACCTACTCCGGTTACTTTAAGGATTACTGATAGTAGTGAGGATAAGGTAGGAGCCCTAGTAGAGAGGAGTCGAGCATTGCAGTGTCAGACAGGGGAGACCAGGGTTCCATCATGTGCTATTTTAGGTATGTTATCTTTTGCTTTCTCCTTGGCTGTTATCAGTATTTTTATTGCTTGGGAACTTTGTATCGGTTTGGGTAAGCATTATCTTTGGTATAATTCTATGTAATTGTCTGTGTTATATCATCAAGATTTTTTATATGCTATTTTTGTATACCATGAATCATTAGTGGGTCGTATCTTGCTGAGCGGGTTTCAGTGTGTTTGGTTGTTGTTCCAGTTGTTTGTTGGGATCAATTCAGGGGTACTGTTTGGAAGGTCTATGGTCAGGATCAGTGGGTTAGTTCTAGATTCAATTCAAAGTTCAATTGTTTTAGAATTTTATCTGGTGGGATCGTCGGTCGTCTATGGAATAACTTTTGGGTTTAATCACTACCGTTGCTAGGGAAGGAACGGTAGCAAGGAGATGGTTGTGTTAGTCGCATGGTTTTGGTTGATCACTAGAGGTGCTAACGGGATTCATTCATCGCGGGGGTTATGGTCATTGTCACCAGCTTAAATGACCTAAGGATTTGGGTGTTGTATCATGGGAAACGATTGGGGTTGTCGGATTCGTTGAGGTTTCGGGGAATGTTCATCTGGGTTTCAAGAGTTGTGCGGCCATTAGATTTTTCTAGTGAAGGAACACTAGTATTGGTAAGCACAGGTTGTCATCAGTTCAATCGTAAGGAGGTAAGATGGATTGGGAATCCACCAAATCTTGTGGGATGGGAGTGCTTCGACGAATCCAAGTAGGGAGGATCATTTAGATTTCCGGAAGTTGAATCAGGCGTGAACTAGGATGAGTTCACATCCCCTTTGGGAGGGAAGATGAATCAAGTACCTGTTTGGATTGAGGATTGTGTAAGTTGGGAGTTCAGGAAACTTCCAACAACTAGTTGACATCTTCCTGGTGATGGATAGCAGGCATATAGATGGAACTATGTTAAGGGTTTTGATAGAACTTCTCTTCCTTTTCTTGTATAATTAAGTTTTGGGGTTCGAAGCATGACCCGAACAACTGATTGGGAGTGTAGTTTGGTGCGTGATCGACTCAGGATGAGTATGGATGGATTGGTATGTAACATCTTAGAATTTAGGGCATAGACTACGAACAATTAAACTGCAGTAAATTTGTATGTAATTTAACTCGTTCGGTTTTAATGCATCTAATGTAATACAAATGAGTTCAATTCAATTATTATATGATGTCAGGTGATACCTTACTTCCAAATGTATAAACTATTAACCGAATCAAACCGCTAAAACTGCAACGTTGATTAATGCGTCTGAAAAACTAAAATTTTGCATTAAGCAATTTTGAGCAAAAAAAACATTAAAATATTATATTATATGTTCCCCTATTTCCAAAAATATAAAGAACGTCCAAAACAGATGCAAAAGATACGATAGTTTTAAGAAAACAGAGAGTAAAACAATTCTAACACCCCGTTCTTAAAGTATTTAATTATGAGTCCCTAAGATTTAAGAGGAAGGGTGATTCTGGTCTTTTTCGGGAAATGGGTTTTATCCGAGAGGTTTCGGACTGGTGTATGTTGTTAGAAGCATTGGGCTTCTTGTCACCCTCGAGTGAATGTAAAGTCTATTGGGAGCGGGTTTAGAGTAGAGGAGTTGCGGCGTTTTGAAGATGATAATTAATTATAGCTCTTAATGGAAAAGTGGAAAAAGGGGCTCCATGCAAGCCATGCATGTCTTTTGAAGTTTGGCTGGGTACGCCCAACGTAAGCTGGACATACGCCCAACGTAGTAGAGGAAAAATGCGGGGTGGCTAAGTGAGTACGTCGAGCGTACTAGAGGTACGCCCAGCGTACTCTCAGAAACCCCAAACCCTAATTTTAGGGTCAGCCACTATATAAGGAACATGTTGGTTCATACCCTAGCCTCCATAAGCTCACCCTTAACCTTAGAAACCCGTATTCCCTCCATTGTTGGGTGTGTTTGGCCTTGGAAAGCTCATTTTTGGCAAAAGAAAAGCTAGAAGAAGAAAGGAGAAGTTGTCAAAGAAGGAAAGGAACGATTGGAGCTTGTAGATCTGAAGAGATATCATCCTTTGGAGCTTATTTGAGGTATAAAGCTTCTTGCTTGCCATTTATTTGCATAGATCTAAGTGTTGTGAAGTTTTAGCATCTTTCTTGTCCCAAAAGTCCTCATCTTGATTCATGCTTTGTGTTGGCCGAGACTATATGTCCTTTCAGACCTTTGGAGAGGTCTTGAGTGAGAAAAATGAGGTCCCAAGGGTTGTTGTTGTTCCATGTGTGAGATATATAGGTCTTAATGGATTAAGAGCTTTATGGACATCCCAAGTGATAAAGTTTGAGACTTTATGAATTCTAATCATATTTGGCCTAGGGATCTGAAGTTTGGGCTTAATAGCTTAAGCCATTAAGAACTTATAATGACTTAATGAGTAGCACAGTTACGCCCCGCGTAACACATGAGTACGCCCCGCATAGCGGGCCAGAGCCCCGATCCCCAATTGCGAATAAGAGTGTACGCCCCACGTACCAAGGAGGGTACGCCTAGCGTACTCCCCCTGAGTAGACTTTAATGTTGGGCCTTAGAGTTTGGGCCGTTTGTGGGTTGTTGGTTTATGGGTCATGTCTGGAAATTATGGATAGATTATTTTGGGCCCAATTATTGTTATGGACCTTAGATCTAGGCCCATTTGGTGAGGTGGGCCCAATTTGGTAAATTGGGCCAATATTGGACTTTGTATAAGATTTGGACTTTGGCCTTGGCCCGATAAGTGGATGTATGCTTAGCCTAATGTGTATTTGTGCTATGTTGGCTAGTTCGGGATTTGCGGTGAGTTGGTGATTCGAGAATCTGCTTCTTCAGTTCAGAGTATCGGCAATCGCGAGGTGAGTTATCCTCACTATATCAACAAGGTCTAAGGCACCAAGGCCGCCCTTTATCGGATTGAGATCCGGGTATTTGTTGTTATTGCTTTGATATGTTTGCATCCTGGTAGTTAGGATGGTATATGCTAGTGACCGGTTAGGTCGGTATCCTGGTTAGGATGATGAAATGTTATGCGATCTGTTTGATCGGCTTGTTGACTGTGAACTGTTATATGATTGTATGTATATGTGCACATGGTTGTTTGGACTAGAGTTGGGTTGAGGCGGGTCCTTCTTTGTGATGTAAGCCAAGATACCCAGGGCGGACCGGTTGTTCCGAAGGCCCAGCGAGCGGTCCGGATAGGTTGTAGGCCCCACGAGGATGGACCAGACGTGCCGAGGCTCGGAGAGTGGACCATGCCGACTGAAGGCCCGATGCGGGCGGACCAGTCATACCGTAGACTCAAAGAGTGGACCAGGTGGGTTGAAGGCCCAGTGAGGGCGGACCAACCACACTGCAGACTCGAGGGACATGACTAGACTCGGAAAGTGGACCCGGTGGACTGAAGGCCCGATACGGCGGACCAGTCACACAGTAGACCCGATATGCATGGTTGTTCGGCGATCGGTTTTGATATGACATGTTATATGTGCATGGTATAAGTGGTTGGTATTTTGGGGGTATCTCACTAAGCTTTCGGGCTTACAGTTGTGGTTTAATGTTTTTTAGGTTCTTCAGGAGACCGTGGCAAGGAGAAGGCGTGATCGTACCACTTCTCGTGTTTATGTTTCATGTTATGTTTCTGGGAATACTGTGATAATAAATGTATTGAAAACCTTTTTGTAATAACGTGATTAAAATGGGTTGTTTTTGAAAATATAAATTTTCTTGAAAATTTTGGTCTTCTTTAATCGCGTAAAACCGAATCGATCCGTTGAGGTACTTGCACTTTGTCGATGGGATTTATGAGAATGTTTTTGGAATCACACAATAGTCTATTATTTAATTTCATTTTATTTGTGATCCATGAACTTAGTCGCACAACCCAGCATGTTTCGCCGCCTCGATCGGGGGTGTGACAGATAGGTATCAGAGTTGGGGCACGGGTCGATATGTTCGGTGGGGATGTCAAAACCTATAATAGGGGGTGAAGGAGGGAAGGTTAGTTGCACCTGATCCCACATCGGATGGGAATGAGAACTAAGCATTCCTTAAAAGGGTGTGGATACCTTCTCTGTCAGAATATGTTTTAAAGTCATGAGGGCAGCAGATCCCATAAGAACTCTGCAGTTAACTTGCCCAGATGAGAAAAATCCAGCGATGGGTAACCCCACCAACCATAATATATAAAAGTTTATACATACTCTGATCCACGATGAGAACACTTAATAAAAATTCTAAACATCCCTTCAACTAAAACTACCAACTTAACCCTTTAGGTCAAACGCATCAGTTAAATGTTAATACCATACATAAGTCATACCACAAATAAACCTGGAACGCGCGCCTATGTTATTTGTGGTCGGGTTGGTGCACAACTAACCTTGAGCAAGGAGTTTGACAGACTACAACAGTTGAAAGTTTTAGAGATTGAAAATTTTTCTCAAGATTCGATGCAGATACCTAGTACCCTAGAACCTTTCGTATCAACCTTATAACATTTTATACATTTAAAATTTACTAACATACTTGAAAACCCATTATGTAGATGACAGATTTACCAGATGACCAGCCCGCTTGGATGCAGATCGCAGACCCTGATAATCTGTAGGAGAACCCATTAAACCTAGCTGGGGATCTACACTTTCCCCAGGACACTCCGGCTGATCATGTTGAGGAGGATGATCCCGAAGAGGATCCCGAAGAGGAGGATTTCGATGATACAAAGGAGGACGAAGATTCTGATGATGAGGGCATATTTCAGGATACCAAAGAGATCATCGACAACGGTCCTATTGAGGACGAGGATGATCATGCTGATGAGGAACCCGCCCCTCCTACTCCACCAGTCTCTCTACCCCGGCTGCATTATCAGCCATATCTCCTTCGTGGCAAGGGTCCTTGGGTGATGAGGACCCTAGGGACTAGTATATCTCCCGTATACCACTTGGACCCAGTTGTACCCGTTTCCCAACCCACATGTCGTCAACTGGAGAAACAAAAGTTTCCTAGTGAGTCAGATTGGTTCCTAGACCTCTTCCGCGGGAAGAGGGTTGTTGATCCACTGCCATAATTTAAGGTTAGTGAGTCCTCACAGACACTACTCAAGGATGACCTTGAGAATGATCTGATACCACATCTGATGTCTCAGGATGATCAGACTGGGGATAGGGTCGGATCCCTGGAGAGTTTCGTGAGAGATTCCGGTTCTACTTACCTTGGGCATCGAGTTAAGATACTCGAAGAAGGGAAGAAAGAGGATTCTGATGCTATCCAAAAAATTTATCATCGCTCTGGTGCTAACTGTACTGAAGGAAAGGATGTTTTGTTCAGAACTAGAAGGTTCATCTCCCAGTTTGTCTCCTGCCGCTCGTTATTCTTCGGAAATAGTTGTCACCAGGATGAGCTTTCCCCTTGAAGGAATATTTGTCAATTTGGTCACGTGAAAGGTTATCGGTAGTAGTGTTTGGTTTGTGAATCTGTTTTCTAGTGGGAATTTCCGATAGCCAGAAGTTAAGTAGTCGGTTTAGGGACAAATAGAATGGAACTAGAATCGGTACAGTATCGGCGGAGATGATTAGGCAGATCAGGTAGAGATTGTAGACTTATTAGAGTCGGCAGAAGAGCTATAACGATAGGTGTTGATCCGAGTTTGAATTTCAGGTCGGCGACATGGTGTTACTAAAAGTCTCACCTTAGAAAGGTGTGATTTGCTTCCAAAAGAAGGGGAAATTGGGTCCCCGTTATATTGGTCCATTTTGGGTTATTGTCATGGTTGGAAAGGTTGCTTACAGATTGGATCTTCCTGAGGAGCTCAGTCAGATTCTCAACCGTTTCCATGTTTCGCAGCTGCAAAAGTGCGTATTAGATGAGGATGCAATGGTTTCGTTGGATGATATTCGGGTAGGTGAGCGTCTGACCTATATCGAGAGACTTGTAGCTATTCTGGAAAGGAAGGTAACGGTTTTGCGCAGCAAGGAAGTACCTTTAGTAAAGGTACGATGGCAGCACCGTAGGGGATCCAAGTGGACCTAGGAGGCACAGGCCGAGATGGGGGAGTATTGTCACGATTTGTTCTCTACATCAAACTTCTAGGATGAAGTCTATTTTAAGTGGGAGAGAGTTGTAACACCCCGATTTTCAGGTATTTTCAAATTCATCCCTTGGTTTTAAATTATAAGTCAATTCGGTCCCTACGTCTAAGATTTATGCCTTGAAGCCCTAGTGGCATCATGGTAATTTGTGTTGGAGGAGTACTCTAAGCGTACATGTGTGTACACTGAGCGTACTAAGGCATGACCTAGTACTCTTGGCGTACACTCACGTACGTTGGGCGTACTCACGTCAGAAGAAACCCTAAATTTTAGGGTTTGAAGGGTATTTAAGCTTCATATTGGTTCATTTCCTTTCCATCTTTCAGCTTCCACTCCCTTGGGATGTTTTTGCTAACCCTAACCTTTGAGTGTGCAATTTGGAGCTCAAGTGTGTGCTTTTTATGGTCTGTTCTTGGTGTGTTAGAGGAAGAAGAAGATTCTTGGAGAAGCCTTGGTGAGGGAGCAACTTGTGGATCTGGGATTCTTACCTTCTTGAGAAGCTCTAGAAGGTATAAAGCTTCAATCTTGTCTTGTTTTTCTTTTAGATCTGGCCATGAGGAAATTATGTGTTCTTAGTCCCTTTTTCTTGGTGGTAATGAGTATATGCTACTCTAAGACCTAAGGATCCGTCCTTTCTAAAGAAATAAGGTGCAATAAGTCATAAAAAGGTTATCTTTGCTCCTTTAGTGCCTGCTTGAGGTCTTTAGTGGTTAAGTCATGATAGAATCTTGGTGTTGGGCCTTATTAAGACATGCATGACCATAAAGTTGGAAACTTTATGGTTTAGAAAACCTCTTTAGGCTTGGATCTGAAAGTTGGACGATTAGATTGAATGGGATAAGCTCTTAATCAAAGTATTACATGGCTACCACGTACGCAGGGTATACCAAGGCGTATGTTGGGCGATGGTGATCAAGGGCGCGATTCTGGGTCAATGCAGAGTATGCTAAGTATACATCTGGGTACACCCCGCATACTCAACATGTTGGGTTTTCGAGTTTAGGCTTCAAACTTTGGGCCACCCTTTGGGCTTGGATGCTTGGGCCCTTATTGGTCCATCTGATTATGGGTTTTTTGGCTAAGTAAAGTGTTGAACCTTGGGGTAAAGCCCAAATAGGATTTGGGCCTAATTTGGAAAATTAGGCTAATTATGGGCCTTGAGTGATTATGTATTGTTGGGCCTTTTGGGCTAAGATTTGGGTATGGGTCTTAGCCCATCTAGGGAAACGGTAAAGTGGCCATTTACCCTAAGTATGGATTATTAGTCAAGGATTGTAATTTGATTATTAATTGGATGATTATTTTATTGTGTTACTACGGGGTTTTAGTGAGCTAGCAGTATGAGGCTTTCAGTGTGATTCTATAGTGTGAGGTGAGTCTCCCTCACTGTACTTATAGGTCGAAGGCACCAAGGTTGGCCCCTTTGGATTGTTATCCTAATTATCATATGATCGAGTAATGTAGTGATCTGTTAGATATGTATCCTGGTAGATAGGATGATGATATGTTATGCATGCTTGTTTTTGGTTGGTTATTTGTATGCTTGTCTGTTATATGTATGTGCGACACGATGTATGTGTGGGTGGGTTGAAGCGATCCTGCTTTATGCTCAAGGCCAACAGACCCAAGGCGGCCCTGATAGATTGAAGGCCGGTGGGGCGTACCAGTCAAGTCGAAGGCCCGGTGCAAACGAGCCGAGCAGAGCCCGAGCCTAGCCAGGCTCGGCTCGGGCTCGTTTAAGTTATATAAGGCTTGAGCTCAAGCTCGGATCGATTCGAGCTTCCTTGTACTGAGCTTAGCTCGAGCTCGTAAAGAATTATACAAGCTCGGCTCGGGCTCGGGCTCGACTCATTTATTATCTAATGCGTCTAAATAAGCTTAAGCTCGGCTCGAGCTCGTTAAGAAGCTCGTTTACTAATACCCTAAATCCATAATTCCCCTAATATGTTTTTATTTTAATATATTTAAATAATATTAAATTATATTATATAAAGGCTCGCTTAGGCTCGCGAGCCTAATCAAGCTTAATGACATAGGCTTGAGCTCGAGCTCGTTTAATAAACGAGCTTAATATTAAGCTCGAGCTCGGCTCAGGATCGTTTAAAATCGATTTTGAGTCGAGATTTTAACGGTCCGATCTCGAGTAGCTCGCGAGTAGCTTGACTCGTTTGCACCCCTACGGAGAACGGTCTAGATATGTTGAAGGCCCGGTGAGGCGGTCCAGTCATGTTGAAGCTTCTGTGAGTGATCCAGATAGTCTGTAGGCTAGTGGGGCTTTCCATTCAGGATGAAGGCTCTGTATGCATGTTGTGTATTGTTATTATTCTGGTTTTGTGTTGTGTTGGTGTTTTTTTTTTTTTTTTTTTTGGGGGGGGGGGGGGGGGGGGAACTTACTAAGCTTTGAGCTTACAGTTTTGGGTTATGTTTGAGGTACCTCAAATGATCGAAGGAAGGTGAAGGCTTGATCGTGCACCTCCTCATGTTTTACTTGTGATTTTGGGAAAACTCTAATAATAGACATGTTTTGGAAAACTATTTTTGTAAACAAGTGATGATTTGGGATTGTTTTAAAAGTTTAATTTTTTGTGAAATTTTTGGATGTTACATTATAATTATATAATAAAGTATTGAGACTTCATTCATGTCATAATTATATAGTTATATTAAAAAAGGTTGGATTGTATCCAAAGTAATAGTATATAAGATGATTGAGAATTACAGAAACCCTAGTACCTATGAGTAGTAGAACACTATTTTTAAAGAATCAAATACTTTTACAACATAACAATGTTATATATAAAAAGTATTTTCAAAGTATAATATACAAAACCTGTGAACTCTCCAACATCACGGTGATCTTTCAAACCCACATGTATTCCTAAGAAACCGAGAAGATTGCACCTTTGGAAGCAGTGGTTAATCGATGAAGCTACTGAAAACCTATTATCGTCATAGTTATGCCTAACTTTCAATGCATCTTTTGTATTAGAAATTCTAGTATTACATAAACATATTTTGATGTAATATTTTATCCATAATGAAAATAATATTTATGTTTTATATTGTTTTGTATTGTTCAATAATCTGTGATCCAACGTTCTAACGTCATGTCGTCCGGTGTTTCCACCATTGGCCCGGAGTGTGCCAACTTTGTGAATTTCACAGTCTTTTAACAGGTTATGATCACAACACAGTTCTTCGAGTTGTTTAGTGATATATGTCATTCTGATGCTAATACACTTTGATACCAATTACGCGTAATGGAAGTAACAAACAATAGGATGTTCAAGATATCCTAAAAATGTCATTATAAAGGTCTACATTCGACCATTTATATAGTGTGCCATTAAATTCATAGCATGACCAAATTTCAAAAAATTAAAACGGATGGTCAAATCATCTAATCTACTATAATAAATCAAGGTTTTTTGCCGCATGTCATCTTCTCATTCATTTAGACACATGGCATTTTCTAGAATTTTTAAATTTTTTATTTTTCACTTGTCATTTTATTGTAATTTTTATTTTATTAAATTAAAATTCCACATTTAATGTGTAAGGTAATATATATGTAAAGCATTTACTAGAAAGAGTTTATATATATAATATATTTAATACATTAAAGTCTCATTAATTTTAATAATTCAAATTTTTCTCATTTTTTTATAAATTCAAACTTTTCAAATTATTAAAATTTTATATTTATTTTTTTTTAGTTAAACTCATGTAATACATGGATCTCACACCTAGTAAACTACCTAAACTAAACAATCATGTGTTTTTTGGAAATCAAGGAAAATGTTGAATTTACAATTAAAAGAAGATTTTAAAATTCGAAATGGACTAAAGTTAGAAGCTAACCATTGAATACCAAAATAATGACATTTGGTAAAGGTCGGTAGATAACGCACCTTCCAATTCCATTGTTTGTCGGTTTTGGCCCAATGAGAGTTTTATATCCATACAAAATGGGTCTCAAACTCCTGACAAATCAAAAGTTATCCTCGTTTGAAGGGCTTCTTTTAGCCATGTTTTTCAACTCGCATATATCCATAAAAATGTCATAAGTTGTCAATATGTTATGCATCACCAAATCAGATCGACACCACTCCTAACCAATTCTGATTACAATATTTAAAATTCGATCCAATATTGATTTGTTGTAAGTTCACCATGACATCCTTATTTTCCTAACCTCCATCTTCGTCTTATACACATTTTTTATCAGCCAACATTGTTATACATACAACATAACTAATCTAATTGTTATCCAATAGATTTTTTCTTTTAGTTTCATTGGTACCTTCTTGTCCAACAAAAGTCATGTTGTCGTCTAATTGTAGTATAAGCATGTATTTACTATATATATTGGGCATCATCATATGCGTCATCTTCCTATACTTCACTAACCCCAAGTACCTAAAACATATTGTTGAAATATGTTAGTTACTAACATGGTATTACCTTCCTATACTTTACAAACCCCAAGCAACACATGACATTAACTTGGAATTTTTAGTTGATTAGAGAATTTATATATGATTTAAACGATCATGTTGGATTTAAGCATTAGACAACACAGCTGTCTTTGGAAAGGAAATTTCCTAACGTAGGTTTCGAGGCCAATACAGTTGTTTGTAATCATCATAATTGGATAAATGATTATTTGGAAAAATAGATAATATATTTTTGAATGATTATTTATAAAATTCATGTTGTTAAGATCTCGGTCATGATCTAAGTTAGATCTAGTTTGAAGCAAGATCTCTCCTAATATTGTATCATCTATATTAGGATCCCATAGAAGACGTTACTGCAATCTAATCTCCCTCTTTCACTTTAATTCAACGGTCTGTCAGTATAAACCCAAATCAAATTAAAAAATAAAAAATAAATAAAAAAAATAAAATACACAATGCATCACACGAAGCCATGGAGGGCCTCCAATAGCATCCATTAAACTCAAAATCAACACATCATACCTCGAGATCATACCTCGAGGGTGTTTGGGATTCTTTTTAAAATAATTTTTTTATTTTTAGTTTTTTGAAAAAGTTAAAATATTCAAAAGAAGTTTGGGAATTAAAAAAGAACTTTTAAATCAATTTTTTGTCAAGAAAAAAAAAAGTTTTTCAAAAATCATCAAATTGTATCTTTTTGTGACTCTTAACCTTTTAAATGGATTCAAAAGTCAAAAAATTTCATCCAAACATTTTTTTAAAGACTAAACTGCACAAATGGTCTCTATGGTTTACTGAAAATTGCCACTTTGATCCAAAAATGTTTGGACTAGCACCAGAAATCCAAAGTTTTCATTTTATTGCTTGTTTGGTCCAATCAATTATGACTTTTCTCAAAATGACGGATTTGCCCCTGTTAATATGATTTTTCCTTTTTTCTTATTTGTTTTTCTGATTTTTAGATTTAAAAAAATAAAAAATAAAAATAAAATAAAAATAAATCTCTCTCTCTCTCTCTTACCATTCATCACCTTCACCAACCTTCAACTTCAACCTCACCTGAACCTTTCATCATCTATTACCACCCAACATCACCCTTCTCCGTCTCCATTCCCAGCACCGTGACCACCATTCCACCTTATACTACCACCAGACACAACCCAAAAACCTAATTTATCTATCACAACTGACACTACCCACCATTAGCTACCACTGACCATATAACCCATCATTTTCTCCATCAGATCATCACACCACCATTAAAATACCATCGACTGTAATCAACACATAATGGCATCCAAACCACCAACAAGGCCAGATCTGCCAAAAAATATGAAAAAGAAATTAACCAGCAGATCTGTTTGTCACCCTATTTCTCTTTTTTCTCATCGGATCTGGAAAGAAAAAGGTAAGGGGGTCGTTCAATACATACCAACAGTAGGTTTTGGTGATGAAGATAACAGAGCTAGGGTTTTCGGTGGATGATAATGGCGCTGAAACAAAAATAACCGATTAGGGTTTTCTGAAAACCCTAACTCGTCGCCGCCCTTCGTCTTCTCCGGAACGTCATCACTAAATCGGTAGGGTTTAATAATGAAGAAAGCGGAGAAAGATGGAGATAGACGAGGCTCACTGGAAGAACGATGTTTAACAGATCTGGAGCTTCGTCGAGTTGCAGCGGAGTTTTTTCAGATCGCCGAAAAAATGAATTTTTACAGAAATAGAAGATGGCGACGAGATCGGAGTAAGGGTTTACAAATGGATGGTGGGTGGTGGAGATGATAGGGGATAAAGGCGGTGGTGGTTGATGGCGATAACGGTGGTGGAGTCAACGGCGAGGCGTTTCTTGAGAACCAGGAAGAACAAATGAGAGAAGGAAGGAGAAATAGCGGGGAGAGAGAGAGAGAGAGAGAGAGAGAGAGAGAGAGAGATTTATTTGTATTTACTTTTATTTTTTATTTTTTATTTTTTAAATATGAAAATCAGAAAAATCAATTAAAAAAAAGGAGAAAATAATATTAACAGGGGCAAATCCGTCATTTTGAGAAAAATCATAATAGATTGGACCAAACAAGCAACAAAATGAAAACTTTGAACCTCTAGTACTAGCCTAAACTTTTTTGGTCCAAAGTGGTAATTTTAAGCAAACCAGGGACCATTTGACCATTTGTGCAGTTAAGTCTTTTTTAAATGAACTTTTAACTTTTCCTTCTTAAAAATAACTTTTAAGAAAATGATTTTTATAAAAAAGACTTTTGATTTTGAAAAGAAATCTCAAAAACCCCCCCAAGCCTTACAACTCTTGAAGTCTCTAGGTTCGTTCCTTTACGATACAGTTTGTTTTTCAAGTTCTTTCCTTTACGATACAGTTTGTTCTTCAAGTTTTACGTTCATGATTCTCACTTTTATGATGATCATATGCTTTTATGTGATATAGTATTAAACCTTTCATTCTTATTAAATATTTTATAACTTGTATTCTAATCAATAGCGATGTATATTTTTCACGTTTTTTGACTAGCTTGTAACTATTTCATTTTGATAGAATCTTCAGATTTTATGATCATCTTTTTACAAAGTTAATAACACCTTCTTACAAAGTTAATAAGAATCATATATTAGATCTCGACCTTAAAAACTCTCATAAAATAATGAATTAGTATTAGGAGAATAAAAAATAATAATAATAATAAACCCTCCCTTAGATTAGATTCGAAGACAAGGGTCATAAATTTCAATGTTAAAAAACAAATAAAATATGTTACATATTTAAATAAAAACAAGAGATCTTGTTTTTTCCTATATCTTTGAGAATTGACCATAACGGAACAAAGGGTGACCCACTTTTCAATAAAAATAATAATTAGTCACCAACCCCAAACCACAATGTTTCCAATTATTATTATTTGTGTCGGTCACATTATTATATATTTGATTTCATCTCTTCCATTCGTTTCTAAATTCTAATCATCATTAAGCAAACACATAATTAATATTTTTTTTATTCCACTTGTAGCTATATCCACACATACTTTTCAAATGATACAACCACCAAAAAATTAGCATATTAATTAGTCTTTCAAAAAGTATCATTACTTACACAGTCAAATTTCAAGCCAAAAAACACATGCATTAAAGATATTATTTTAGCCAAGACATGAGTGTGTAAAAATGAAGATTAATTAAGAACACTAATATGCACTCAATAATCGTGTTTTATTGCGTGTAAGCGACAAAAGTTTATACATTGACATAATTCCTAATCTATTGTGTCAGCGAACTTGAGAAGAACAAAGAACTCATATACGATAATAAGCTAAAAATGCATTGAAAAATTAAGAAATTATGCTAAAAATAAACATAAAGAAATAAAAAAAATAAAAAAAAAAAGAAAGTACCTTACAAGAAAACAAGACAAGAACAAAAGTCTTTCCATGGGTTTTTGCTTTTGTTATTCTACTTCACTTATCTCCCCTTCACCACATAACCCAACATCCACAACCAACCCTTTCCTCTTCGACTCCAAAACCCTACAACAATTTCTCCTCGGAGACTGCAAAAAAAAAAAATTAAACATTATATAAAAATCAAAAACATTTATTTCTTCTTTTTCTTAACAAGTCATATATGGATGGTAAATGTCTACATACAATGTTATATACATAAAAACTATTTCTTTTTAGACTGAATAAACCGTCTGAATCTGACTAAATGACCATTGGATAAAGTGTTGTATACATAAATACTTTTTTTTACTCTATTAAATTACCATTTTACCCTTGTGTGTAAAATATGATAAATAACAAACGATTGTTTAGATTAAGTAAAAAATAAACGGAAATCTCCTATAGAGTCTTAATATTTTGTGTCAGTTTACGGTTTAATCCCAAGACAAGTTTCGATTATCTAGTTTTATTGTCATTGTCGTTTTCTATTGAAAAAATAATAAGGACTGTTTCGTTAATTTGGACAAATCATAAAATAATCAAAAAGTTGGGATTAAACCGTAAACTGATCCAAAATATTGGGACTCTATCAGATATTTCCCCCAAAAAAAAAAAAAAAAACAACCCTTCCATTACTGACACTTACCCTATCCCATAATTGCGGATCCGGTCTTTTATAAACAACAACTTTATCAAGAATCGAAGGATCCAACATCTTCCATTTGCAAGGAGGATGAGGGACACGATGGCGCGCGTATTCACTCACGGTCTCATTCGTAGTCGAATTCAACCGCACTTTTGACATATAAAACACAAACGGTTTCTGACACGGGTTTCTGGCAACCGGGCGCGTATTGAACGCGTACGCGGTATAATCCGCTCGTCGATACCAATTCAAGAAAGTTCTAGAAGGCATTTCGACTTCACGTGGGGACATGATTCCTCTAAAAACTTGAATTGCAAATCCCCAAGAAACCGAAACTGTCCAACTTTTTGAAGTGTCATAACAAATGGATTGTTGGATAAGTCCAGCCGAATCCAGTTTCATTGGTAGCATTAGTCTTTTTAGAGCCTCGACACGTGTCACTTCAGGAAAGATTGGTTCGACTACATCAAGATGGTGTAATGAGACTATTGGTGTCACCGGGTGTGCAGCAAGTAGCCCAAATAAGTTTCCATACACGTCATACTGTAAATAAAAAGAAAAATTAAAAAAGAAATAAGAAAAAAGAAAACCCATCTCAGACATGCTTTTTTACTATAAGGGTCACCCATATCATTCCTGTATTAAAAGTAGCAAACTTTACACCAAAAAATCTTGACAAGTGAAAAGATAGGATACAATAAGGCTAATGAGAATAGTACACAAATCAATAATGTTGGATTTTGGAGGTTAGCATGTGCACCAATTATTGCTCTGAAATTATAAATGGAAATTCAAGAAAAGTGAATGAAGGAATTTTTTTTTTTTTTCACAACCACAAAATAATGTTGATAAGGACAAAAGAGTCAAATGTTGTTGGACTACAAAGAATCCTACTAGTACTATGACTACTATCTACATCTACATTCCCTTACCTGTGTTGTAAGCTTAATATCACCACATTCACTATAAATGAAGAAAGCTTTTTGTCAAATAAAAGAATAATGGGTGAATTTTGTGATTATAACACAATTTAATTCTGGTTTACAGAAAAAAAAAATGAGGAAGAATGTAGTGAAAGTGGTAGATTTGAGTACGATTTGTCGGTGTACACTTATGGGCATTCTCACATTGATATGGTTAAAATCCTAGCAAAAGACATATATCATAAAAGTGACATTTTTCCATTTTATGTTTAGTTTTCTTCACATAATAAATGGAGACATATATTTCTTCATTGTGTGTCCCACTAAATTTATAAAGTATATATCATCATCTTCTAAATGAATGCTTAGATAAATAGATCCTGTTCTATACTGGAGTTGTTAATAATGATAAAATGTTTTTTCTTATAGGTTTAATATCTAGAATGAGTTTTAATGGTAATAAAACAAAGAATTTCTTCAGGATCAAGGTAAAAATGTAACTTTAACTTGGAAATTAGCAGAAAAGGGAGACGTTGCAATCATAAATACAAAATGTTTGCAATTTGGAAAGTAATAGACCACTTGCAAGTTGCAACAACCAAGAAAATTTTGTTCTTGACCATTTTAGGTGCAACCAAGCAAGCATTACTTACAAGTCACAACATCGTTATGCAATTCAATACCATTCTGGAGATGGGTTTTACCCCCCATTGATCTGTTAGAGCAATCTTTGGAGATTATTAGATGAAAAGCACAACTAATTTTGCACAATGTACAATCCTAGAAAGAAAAAACGACGAGAATTGAAAGGTTTTAGGTTTCACTAACCTGGTGAAAGCCGAGTTCTTTGGTGAGTGGCACACCGAGCTCAGCCATACACGCCTGCATCCGATCGTCGGAGCCGTACAGTCCGGGATACCTCTGAATACACCGATCTTGCATCTTCTCCAGAGCTTTAGCTAAGGGATAGCTGATAGCAAAACCGCCGCCGCCGTACGCCATGCCGTAGCTGAAGTATATGTTCTGGAGATGACTTTCCGACAAGCTTCCGATGTAGTAATATTGATTGTGATCGTACTTGTTCAAAACCCTAACAAGATTATCAGTGATGAACACTGTGTCATCGTCCCCCATTACAAACCACCTTACATTATCCATCCCTAATCGTATCGTCTCCGAAATAATCCTGGATATCCGAATCGCCGACCGGTGACCCTGTTTGTTCTTATAAGCAAAATGCGCGGTATCGCCGGAAATTTTTAACGGCGGCAGACCATCATCAGGTTGGGTTTTGACTGGGTTGTCTAACCACACAATCCCCCTCATTTTCGCCTCTTTCTTCCACCACAACTTGATGTAATTCTTCCGTTTCTCCCAGAGCTTTGCCGACGCTGCAATGCCAAAAACTATGTGTTTGAGCTCCGTTTTCTCCGGTGCAACGATCGCCGGCGTAAGCGTAACGTTCTGTGACGAAGCACGAGAAGAAAATATCAAATCATGTTCGCCACAAGGCAAATTAGGGGTGTTGAGAAGCTTGAGAGTGTAAACAAGGTAAGTTGCACAGACGAAAGAGATAAGATACAGCATAAGCTTGGGTAACCCACTGCCGACCCGATTTGACAAAATGGGTGATGTATTGTTCGAAGCGTGGGTTCTCATCTGATCCCATATGATCTTCTCTGAATCTTTTTGAACCAGTTTCATATTAGGGCCAGATTCAGGGCACAAAAGCGACAGATCTACGAAATCAAACCTAAACCGACAAAACCCACAACAGCAAAATTAAGAAATTAGAGTGAAAAGTTGAGGAAAATGAATTGGGGTTTTAAAGAGTAAAGTTTCTTGGGAGAGCATGCAATGGTGCCAGCTTGCACACTCCCCTGAATCAAGCTGAAGATGATGACTACAATCGGTTGATACGTATATGTATATACGTATATATGAGAGTATATCGAAGTATGTGCCGCGGTGTGTGTACAGAACTAGAGAGATGAAGAGGGAGGGGCTGTAATTTGTAAATTAAGGGGGTTTCACTTTCACATGGTGAAGATACAGAAGAGAAGAGGGGTGCTTTGATGTGAGAGGGTTTTGGTTTGCAACGGAAATCAGCACAGAGACAAGTTATTTTATATTATATTATATTTTATAATTTATAACTTATATTATATAATAATGCTATTATAAATAAAAGTATATAACAAAAAAAATATTTTTCCATTTCTTTCCTATTTATTTACCTATTAAGCTATGGTATGGTCTCCACTAATTATCTTTATTAATTATTTATTTTGATTTTAATATCTGTTTTGACTTAATGACTAAAAATAAAATAATAGAATATCTGATTTCCCAATATAAAAACAATAAAAATATTGAGTTTTATTCGTTTAAATACAAATACCTACCTATCTATTTGATTCTTAAGATGGAAAATGTCTATTCATTTCATCTCTTTCAATCCAAATGCTTTATAATCATCATATCAATATTTTTTTCAGCTCTCACTTTCAAACGTCTCCCTAACATAATATATAAAAATTCATCTCTCTCAACTCATACATTTTGATACAATTAATAATACATATCATACAAGTAGAAAGAAAGGTATCGATAAGGGAGTAGGGGTTCATATTTCATAAAGTTGATTATCCCTCAACTTGTGTATTATTATTACGGTTGTTGGGTGTGGGCAACATGTTATTACATATTATCACTCAGAAAGTGTTCACCGCATCATCTTATTCATACTTTTGGTGTTATAACACACAAGTTAGAAATGGACAACATCAAATAACATGTAATAACAACTATCATTTTCTTTTTTTTTTTTTATGTTTGTAATTTCCATTTTTCTATTTGTTTTATTTTTTTAATTTATATCATAATAATTTTTAAAAAACATATAAATTAAATAACACATAATTAAAATAAATACTAATTAAAAACTACATCACAACGAAAAAAACATAAACGACATTACTACGAAAAAAAACATAGACCGAAAAAAAAACATTGACAAAAACAAACATTACAACAAAAAAAAAACACTAATCTTGGTCTAAATATTTCTGTTCAATCTTCGCCTTTATTTTTCGAAGTGTCTTCAACCGTCTCGGTGGTAAATTCTCCTTGCTAGTTTGAAGAATTGTCAAATCTTTCGCAATACGATCGTCATCGGCTTCACGACGCAGGAATTCAAAATGATCTTGTTGCAACTCATATCTTTTATGCGTGATTTCGTTGTGCTCGTCAAATTTTTGTTTCATTTCGGCTTGCTCTCGACGTCTACTTTCAGCTTCATCCGTGTTTCGTTGAGCACGCATCGCTTTGTCGCGGCCTATCGGTCGTCGAGGCAGGGAGATCTCTTCAAGGTTGTTCAAGTCATCCGGTATCTCATCCGTGTCCACATTGAGGTCGATATCTATGCGTGCGTCCGAAACATCGACCAAACCCGATTCGCGCGACCTCTTCGATTGTTGTTTGGTAAATGTGTCCGTTTTATTCCACTGTGGGTGTTCCTTGACAATCTCCCAAATTTTTTCGTGCTAAAAAACGTGACCGGTCTCGATATGATATTGCTCCCTCGCTGCTCTATAAACATCAAAATCGGTCACCACTTTGCTTGTGCGAGGAAAGTTTGTTATGGATAAAATTGAAATTTGTGCATTTCTTGCTTATTTGAATCCATTTGCTACTCAACATGTCGTGATTGTGGTACTTTTCATCTTTCTTCAAAATTGTACGAAATTTAACAATCACGGTTTCCCAAAAAGCAACCTTTCGCATATCGTTTTCTTTTGTTGGATTTTTGGATGTCCCGCACCAACCGACCGCCAACGCGTATTCCTCCTCCGCGGTCCACCATGTTGGAGGTTCGTCTTCTGATTGCTCAACCGTAACCGCTTTCCCTTTCCTTCGTGCTCTCCCTTTATGGGTCACTTTTTTTTCGTTCCCCCCCCCCCTCCCCTCCCGCTTACGTCTCGGGTACCGTTTGCTAGGTGGGTGGTGGTTGTGGGGTATTTTGTTGCATTGTAGCAAATGTGTTGAAAAGGTTTTGTGGAAGGGTTGTAGTGAAATATGGTGGGTGTGAGCCGGGATTGAAAAAGTTGCCTTAAGTGTTGGGGACGTATTGTGCAAAACCAAGAGGCGGAGGTGTATTTGTGTTTGGAGGAGGAATGTTGGGGTTTTGATCCATAGTTATGAAAAGAGAAATTTTTTAAAGGTTTGATATAAGATTGTAGGTAAAAAAAATAAAGGTATATATATATATGTGTGTGTGTGTGTGTAAAAGAGGTAGAATGATTGATTTTTTGTTTTTTTATGTTTTTGACCGTTTTACAACGGTTGAAAACTATAGTTGTGCCGTTGAAAATTAATTTTGAATCGAAAAATGCTCATTTGCACCTGTTATCACCAAAACGCATCATAACGTAACGCGGTATAACGGCTAAGGGGGGCGGTGTGCCAACCGTTATACCGGTGTTTTTTGATGGCCAACTCATCATAACGCCCTTTGGCGTTGCCCACTATGAACGGTCTAAAGAAAAAATTATGTTTTTTTTAAGTATTGAGGATACTCAAGATATTCTGCATCTAATCTATCATACCGTCCTATCTTATAATTTTCTTTCAATTTAACGAGTGTCATAATGTGAGTTTTTGCGTAAATAAGCTTTAGAAATAACTTCTCTTATTGTGAGAGGTTTTCTAATTAAAAGTTTTTTCATATCATTTGCAATTACAAACTTTAGCCTATACATTTTCATCATTACTTTTCATCAATTTCATTCTTTTTAATTTATTAAATATATCAACTACAACGGATACCATTAATAGCCTTACATATAACTTTAAACGATTTTTTTAAATATAGTGAAGTTGTATTAAAAACAAATTGGGTTAGTGAGGCGACATTTAGGTAGCATGAAAAAGATTTGCAGCTTTAATCGTTTTATATTTTTGAATACTATATTGAACATTATATTATTAAAAAACAAATGTGAAATAAGAAAAAAGAACTTGTCGGTCAAAATTTTCTGAAAAGTATTTAGACTAAGTCATTGTAGTTCATCACATCAAATATCTCTCAATCTCTCATCGCCATCAAATAAAGGGAAATCGTATTTTAAGAACATGTTATGTTTTGAAAATTATATGTTTCCAGAAATTTTATATATCAATATCAACCGTAAGATTATAGTATAAAAATAAAATAATCATAATAGTTATATTTGTTATCATAAAGTAGCCATAAAATAAAAATAACTTAAATAACTACAATTTTCGCAAATGATCATCTAAAAGTAACGTTATCTGTTAAAAGTGACGTTATCTACAAAAATATGGGTGCCGACCGCTAAAGGTGATGTTATTTGCATTTTCCTTTTTAGTATTTTTTGTCTTGTCATTTTTTTTTTCCGTTAAAAAAACAAGTATTCTCTAGATGGATTTTCATAGATTATGCCTATCAAAACCTAATTTTTTCTAACTTTGAACTTTCATAACACTTTTTATATGAATTCTGTTTCGGGTGACGGGAATGCATATTTTTTTAAGACCAAAGTTGTATGCTCATTGAAAAATATGAAGAAAAAAAAAGATAAAACCAAAAAAAAAAAAAAAAATTGAACTTTTATAACCTTTTCATACGAATTCCGTTTGTGGTGATTATTTTTTCATTGTCTTCTATGTAGCAAAGATTATCCATAGACATACACACTCTAATTGTGTGGGTCATAAAGGCATATTTTGTAAGCTCCTAAATAGGATGATTGTATTTTCTTTAAAATTTTCAAATAAAAGTGGATAACACTTCTTTTATTACACAGAATAGTGTATCTCATATACAATTAAACAAACAATAAATATATGTAAATATTTAGGTTTCAGAGGGGGGTAACATCACTAAAATGTCTTTTGGTAATTCTCATTTAGGAGGTCGTGGTAGAGGGTTCATAGTTTTTGTTTGATATACAATTCGATAGACAACATATGTCAAATTATAGTTAACAAGATTATGAATATATGGCTTGTTAAACGATCTCATCGTTGTTATCGTGTGCTCACACGGTACACCACTTTTTTTTGTCATTTTCCACATCTATAAATCATGCGATTGAGATGTATATATGCAGTTTGCAAAGAATCATTTACTTCATAGTTGAAGCTATACACATGTCTTGCCCGTTAGGCTCGACACTTATGCATCCTCCTACGAAAGCTTAGTCTAGCAGGTGTGAGATCACCGTACTACCCCCTAAAAGCTTTATTTCAATTTAATGCTTAATTAGTTATGTATATCATTAAATATAGACAAGTATTTTCTAAATATCCATTTACCTAAGTTCAGTCGAGTCATGAGCACTTGTGGCATTGACTAATGGAAAACTTCAGTGATAGTCATTATCATTAAATCATGTTTACCCATTGATAACCTTAGCATGATCTGCGGAATATCAGTTGACAAAATATTGAAATGTGTTAATGGGAAAAGGACTTTTCTCATTTCACAATAGCAATATTGTCCAGTCAATCAAGTGTATTTTCGTTGTTGATTGTTTGTTGAAGGCTATCTAAAGACAACTGAAAATTAAATATGTTATAATTTTTTCATGCCTACCAATACAACTGTTTCATTGCATTATTGCGACCAATTATAGACTGTAAATT